ACTCCCTACTCCACCCCTACTGCCTTGTAGGTCACACTTGGTTGTGTAAAGGCTAGAGCTGCACTCTCAAACAAAAGGCCGAGCGATGCTGGGGACATCACTCGTACCCAATTCCCATGAAACTTCATGGTTCATGAAGCCGGCTCATCCTCCCGTAGGAGATAGCCGAAGTAAAGAAGAAAGAAAGAAGAGTACATATCTAGGGAAAAACTGATTCAAATAACCTCAGTCTTTATTGGTACTTTAAAATACACTCATAATAATTCACGGTCGAACTCGAAAAAAAGACCAAATCACCTCTTGAAAAATTAAGCTGATGCTCGCTAGTGACTTGCTAGAGGACGGAGTTTCCTAGAGCTCTAGTGAGAAGCGGTGAGGTCCATCTAGTAGGGAGTCAGGATAGAGTTCCCACCAATGACATTGGTTTGTGGTCGCGCTAAAATCAAGAAATGGTAGAAGTTAGAATTGATGGGCTGGCCATTGATTCGGGTACGGACGGTTGAATGGTACACGAAGTTGCCTTGTACCCGCAAGGTCCTGAGTTCGAACCCCAGTGGATGCGTACTACCAATCACTCACACGAGACTAAGACGAAACAGCGGGACATCTAGTACTGCAGTGCTGGTTTCCAATGTTACTCTAACTGATATTGTTCTGTGGTCAAACTCGAAAAACAAATCCAATCATTACAAATCAACTCCTGAGAAACAATGATGTATGATGGAAGCCAGATTTAGTTTTGGAAATGTGTTATGTAGATCTAACTTTCTAAATATACTTTTACATGTCTGTTTGTATTTCTTTCATCCCACTTATGACCTGTAAAATCCTATTGGTTGTTGAGTGTTTCAGTTAATCAATATCATTAGTGTCCCTCATAGTCATTTTAAAGCATATATATACGCAAGCACTGTCAATCACCTTCACTGTTGATAGGAGACAGTATAAGCTCTCCACATCAACAGTCAGTCTACTCTTCTTGTCTTCCTGCCTCGCGTTTTCGGTGGTATCGTTTCATGCTGTTGTTGCTAATAGTGGTTAGAAGAATAGGCTCACGAATCAACTAGGTAGGAAATTCGTTAGCACAACTACAAGTGTATTACCGGTCATATCAAAATCTGCGACTCATCAAATGAAAATGCTTTACACAGTTTTATGTGGTCACACCAGTATTAATGCAGATAATTTCTGCTTTAGTAGAAAGCATACATTAGGGTATACTCAATCACCTGATACAAATTATTGATCTAATATAATCGATACAAACAATGTCACACGTGAGCACACATGTTGACTAGGGTAGTACTCCTCGATCTAGACGATATATCTAGTCAGTCGCAGAATGATACTTTTCAGAATGTAGGTTGTCAAACAACTATGGTAATGGATCCGGGTCTGTAGTGAGTCAATAGTGAACACCAGACTAATTTTCAAGTGTTGGTTTGCAGAGATTCAATGGATTTGAAGTTTCACGAATTGGTGCATGGTGAATATGCGAATGGGTTAAAGTGCACCCGTCATCCCACGTGTTATGTAATGTCAACGATGGAACTGCCTAACAAGGAGGAGCGACGGTTGGAGTCTAATTTAGATGTGGTGTACGTCTTCTTAATTGGCTTAAATTCCTCTAGAATGAGTGAAGTGGGATGACGCTAATAAACGTTTTCATGGTCAGTTGTGACAATTCCAGTCTGTTGTTTTGATGTGAACTACATGTGCATGTGTGTTGGTTACTTATTGGGTGTTTATGTTTTTGACGTAATCTAATCTGTGATGTTGGAGTGATGGAAACGGCGTGTGTCGTTGAGATAGCGATATAGTATTTTATTTAAACTACTGCTGGAGGTATTTTAAAACTACTTCTGACGGTAAATCCATCTGAAAGAGCATTAAAGAATTATGCTACCTTACTAATCGTCATCTCCACATTTAGGTATTGACAATCTATCCCTCCTCGAAATACCCTCACATTCAGTCTGTCGACAAGTATGCGCATGTCCTGAAGCACCCATTGACGGATGTGCAGATAACCCGACCTGTGTTATACAGAGTTTCAGGAAGTGTGCAGAAGCTGTTAAGCTACCAGTGAAAGTGGTCTGTCCCGGAGTGTGCAAGGTTGAAAGTATCAGACAGTAAGACTAGTCAAGAGGTCTTCCCAACTGAAACCGTATTACAGAAAGGAGATACATTACGGCTCACTGTTCACACAACCTGTAACTCACGCATTTCACACTTATATAGATTGAGGCTCACGTCGCTGGAATTTTATTGATTGATTCATGTCAGCAAGTCGAAACACTTTTTATATCGTAATCTATCCGACATCTGAAATAACTATACTTAAATGGCTGCAATATCTAATGATATTACCGTTGCCATGGTAGAATAAATCATCGTCTTCTGTGCTCTCACAGCATGTGAATAGTTGTCAAGCATTGGAGAAGTATCAGTTACAAGAACGATAAATATGATCATGACAGTAATGTACTGAGTTAAGAAGAAGAGTGATCTCACACAGAAAATTGCCAACTAATTGTTGACCTTGTATGCGATTGAAGGTACGACTTAGTTTCAGGTACCTGCTTGAGTTGACATGGCTCTGTGACCCGAGTGAACACAGAATACGCCGATGATGAGATCACTTCTAAGCGAGCGAAACCACCAAACGATGTTTGATCATCTCGATCTCTAGCTAGCCAACCCTACTGGATAATGTACGTGATGGGTTTCAGTTATTCGCATCAAATAATCAGTACTATATACCATCTGTTGTATTGCTTATTTTTCAGTTTTTAGACTGTCATTTAGGAAGTTGAGTGGACCACACAATGTTATCTGATCTTGTTGAGCTTAGTTTACTGTCTATTGTTGCCAATGTGGGTTGTTGTCAACAATTAATCACACTGCCCACTTTTCAGACTGAATTCTTTCAGTCATGATTGCATTGTGGTAACCATGCTATGATGGGTGGTTCACTAACACAGTGCACGCAGAATTGCTGTCAATTGATGGTTGGAGGCAGTCGGTAAGAAGCTCCGAACTTATGTTTTGTGTTTTCTGAAACACGTCAGTAGGGCGTATCTGCAATCTTGAGCGAACTCATGTCATATAGGATGTCAATTGGAGGGCTGAATGGTAATGTCTCTCTCTCTCTCTGACTACAACACTGGGTGAATCGAGTGGATCGGAATCTCGAGGGAGGGAGGGACATGAGTTCCTTCGCGATAACAGAAATGCCTTGTTGACTGGCGAGCGCCAACAAGCACGAAACCTAGGTGCAATACTCCATGACTATTTACTCCAATTATTTAACAATATTACATAATTCGTTATGGTTGATTAATTTTCAACTGTTCAGCGAACAGAAAACTCAAACTGCGAATGGCGATGTAACCAGAAGATAAGCGAATAAATAATGAAGAAACATTCAGATTACGTTTTATTTTTGTTATATCAAATAAATACACTTGTGTTTTACGTTTGTAAAATAGTATTGATCTCTACTTTTCTTCTTTTGCGCAAGAGAAAAAAGTGAAAAGTAAAAGCATTTCGGGTGACATAATAAATAAAAAAAGTATTCATTTCTTTAACAGGTTAAGGAAAAAGGGGTTGAAATGCTTAAAGGCATTGTCAAGTTATGCAGTCAAAGGCTTCAGGGTTTGTATATGTGTAGGGGGGGTTCCTGGGTCAAAGAATAATTTACACAGATGATAAGGTTTGTGAATGATGAAAACATTCGCGCACCTATACAGGAAATATATATATATATATATGAATAAATCAGGAAGGCATAAAAACAGAACAAAAGCAGTAGTAGTAGTGTACAAGCGAACATATTTAGGCAGCTTCTATGAATGCGGCTGTGAGTGAATGCACGACCTCGCTTCAGTACACATGTAAAAACATCTATTGTATACATACAACACATTGACGAACATTCACTGTTGGATATAACGCAAAGACAGAGAAACAACAGTTCTCAATTATTGAGTGTGTGTTTTTGTGCATCTGTCATGAATAGAAGAGAGAAAAGTGTAAAGGGTAAGGAGGCGATCAATAAAATACAACAGTAAATAAAGTACATCGCTTTGTTAAATTAAGAATGAGCGCTAAGATACGACAGAAGGTGGATGTCAGTTGATTGAGGTATGATCGGAGACAATATCAAGTAGACAGCGACCGACAGAGACAGCAACCGTTTCACATTCTGTTTACCTAAACCAAAACCAAATAGAAAAAAACCCGATGAAATGGCATTCAACAGTATAGAGTCATATATGTAGTAAAATAAGTCCTAGTCTATGTCCCATGGGATGCGACAGACAACTCTTGGTGATTGCTATCACAACCAAATGAGGCAAAATAGAGCTTCTTATGAATTTTGTTCGGCTTTTCTAAATCCTGAAAACCAACATGCTCAGAGTAGCGCATTGTTTAAGCTGTCTAGTTGTTCGCCTTATGTGTAGCTTACTGCACAGGATCAGCTATACCTGTAAATGCATATAGAAGTGGCATAGCTAGATAACTTATCTTTTTCTTGAGCACAGTTATAATCCGTCGATTGGAAAATGACAAACAAGAGCGTGGAAGCAGTATAAGTCCATTACATGGCTCTAGATAATCTTAGATGTAGGATTTCACTAGCAATGTGTCCATTGAATTGCAGCTCCGCAATCACACTACCATTCAGCTGAGGGAATACAACTACACCTAAATTTTTTTTGATTACAGCTTGATTCCACACCGTATTTTTGGTACAGGTTCTAGCATGTGATATCGGTAGCCCAAATTTTGCAGGCCCACCATAGATATCAGGTGTGCGTCGACAGAGGATCGAACTCCGGACCATGTGCATGATCGACGAGAGTCCTAACCACTGTGTCACCTGAGCTACAAATCTCAATTATTTCAAAAATTAGAAGGAATTTACACACAACTATATATACATACTCATAATTCTTATCATTATTCTTAAGATTAATATTATTACACCCAAACGATCATTCAGCTTTCGTATGATTACAGAAAATGGTCCTTGTTGTACACATATCGTTCATTGTATCATCTCTTCGGGATCCATCAAATGTGGTGATATCATTTGATACCGTTACATGACGGGATTTGGAAGGAGAAGAATTTTTCTGAAAAAGCGAATAAACAATAAACGAGGGTAGGATGAATGGGATAAAATGGAAGCGTGAATATGCATTGAACTGTTGTTAAACTACATAACAGTGAAAGCAACCTGATACCGTCCCCAACCATTAATCCCTTCTGGCATGCACATACACTTTGATGCCTATTGCCGAGTACTGCTTCAACCACTTTAGCCTAACTGCTTGACAACTGGGTAGCATTATCAGCTGTCATGACACCTGTTTCGGGTTGCTGAGTTCAAACAAATTTAAAGCACACAGTAGTGATAGAGAGTTATACATTTATTTTCCTCAACATTAATTATCGTTCGAGTGTCGTTTCATTCATAAATAGAGTAAGTAAAACTAACAATCAGCTTGTGCTTTGAACAACAGACACAAATCTCTCAGTTATAACCCCACTAACGCTAAGATCTATCCCTCTGATGAACTAATGTGAATAATATCAAACCATTCTTCATCATTCACTCTTCACGCGAACAACCAATCCACTAACTCACCACAATTCCAACATTTCACATGCATGACTTTCGACGAAAGGGAACACACACACATCTAAAGAATTTCTGATAAAATAACAATGTGGACAATTGCATTTCATATATTTAGTAATATCTGGAATTCAGTTCAATGTATTAAATAGTCACGTAGACAAATAAGCAAGCTATTTAATCAATATTGGACAGATCCATACAGCTTACTACTGCCTCAAGTTTAAGGTCATCAATCATCCTAGGCATGATAACAAAGAAATCTCCATTGTGCATCAGTTAGCAAACTACAGACATCAAGAGTGATACCATTATAACATAAAAACTAACCTCAGAATTGACTTTTGAATCACTAGTTGACGAGATTATACCGTTGTCTGTTGAATGAGATGATAGAAACCATTTCGATGGGTTATTATTGTTGTTATCGTTGGCTAAATATCGGCCAAGCCATACAGTTAAAAATGAACTGAAAACCTAGGTGGATCGGTAGAATAGAAGCAGGAAAAATGCGTAAGTGGGAATATGCATATTGGAATCTTACAAAATAGCTTCATACAATTACTTTTCACCTTGACAAACTTGAACAAGGCAAGAAGAAGTAATTCCTGCTGAGATATCTGACAGATTTCGTCACGAACCACACCCACAACCCCACCAAGGATCCAACCCATCATCTTCAGACTATGAGGCCAGTCTTCTTCACCATTCATCCAGCCACTTGATTTGGAATTGAATTATCCGTGAATTCTAACAAGGTCAACTAGTGAAATAGCGTCACATTCAACCAAAGCCTTTGGAGAGTATCCACTTCACTTTGAGGAGTCTTGAACCAGGACAAAAAAGTTGTCCAGTGCACTACTCCCCGACTTTCAGTTAATCTTCAACTGATATGTTATTTTGTGACGAAATCTAACGATTAAAATTAATTGAAATCCCCACAAATCTCATAATCTAAAATATCTGACCAAGATAAATAGACGCGAAAACAGAAAATATGCATGAACAGTTAGTTTTCCCCTCTATCCCCCTTCTCCACAGGCGACCTGCTACCTAAAGTTTCTGTCCATCGAAATGCATCGCGTTTACTCCGTTTCAATGATATACAATCTATACTCATTAACAATTTCATATAAGTTTCTGCTCACCAGGCAGGAACTTTTCCAAGGAAACAGAGAAAGAATATTGTGGAAATGTACTGGAACAATATTTCTTCAGATGTTAGTTATATCAGTGATTATTATTATTATATTATTTGAAGATTTATGTTCAGTGAGTAAATACCTTGCAAGGAAGTCGTTCTCACCTTACAGATGCACTATATGCAAGGATAGTTGAATTATATAATGCTTAGTATTGATTCCATGTCAGGTAGGTGTGATTTTCTTGTGGCCTTTATGTACACTGCAGGAGAAACAAGTTTGTTACCAACATGACGACTATAGTTAAACACAGATAGGGTCATCATTCAAGGAGAAGACACCTGCATTTACGAATACAATGCAGATGAATTTTCCAATTGATACTAAGGAAGACATAAAGAGTCGAAAAGAAGAGATAATTTTGAAAGAAACTGTTTAATCTTTCTTACAATTTTTAGATTACACATTTACAAACACTTTGCCTTCTTTTTTCAGTAGGATCATGACTGAGTACTGCTGAAGAGTCAAGAAATGTAATAAAACAGTTGTTCTGGTTTTAAATGGCTCTCTAACTGACGCCAGACCATGATCTAACTTGAAATGATACTTCAATTGAAAAATCTAATGCTTTTGGGATCCATCCCGCATATTTGTTAACACTACAAATAGGTCTTAACACTCATCATTTGAGAATAAACAGCATAGATTATGGACATGTAACAAAACACACGATTTAGTGCTTACCATCCATATAAACCAATAGATTAAATTCCATAAAACAGTTTTCTCAAAAATTTCACTGCCAAGTTTTATGCAAACTAAACTTTCAGTTAACACTATCGCCCTAAACAAAAGGAGAGAAAAAATGAAAAAGTGTTAACATAAAATTATATTAACCGAAGGATGAAATTTACGTCAACGAAACGATCAATATAGGCGAATATAAAGGATCCTTCTGGCGGCAGTCGATAAGCTAAGGTTAAAATTAACAAAGAAGACATTTAAATACTTGATTCAACAAGGAATTTACAAATCTTCACTCCGTAAATTGAAGTTAGCACTATAATAGTACTATTATCCAGAAGGACAACATTTTTGTTAATAGGCAAGGTAATGTAAAGCGGAAGCCGGAGCAATCGAATAAAAGAAGCCGGATCTCTGTAGACAAAAGACAACAGTAGTTACGTTAAATCTACCATGATAGCATACTTTTATTTTAGCTTTAAAATAATCCTTTCCTTCCCTCTTCTCTTTACAATCTCTATTATTATTTTATCTGACATACTGTTAGTTTGCTTGGGGTATATGCATATCTTATCTTGATTAGGAGTGTTCAAACTATCTATCTTATAAGTTTAGACCTTATTATGCAATCCTATATGGTCTAAATTTATTTATTTGTTTATTTTTAGGAAGTTTCCTTGTGTTATCAAATCTAAATGTTTATAATTGTCAAAAGTTGATTTCTTTTTCGAGTCTTGCCATCGATTAACATCAGTTAGAGAACCATGGTGTACTGGATAGCTCTTTCGCCCTAGTTTGGCATTCATCGACAATACTCACCCACTGGGGTTCGAACCCAGGATCTTCCGGTTACAAAGCAAGCTCATACACCATTCAGCCAGTGGTACCCGATTCAATAGTCAGCTCTAACTACTACCAATTCTTGACTTTAGAGCCACCACCAACCAATGTCATTGGTGGGAACTCTATCCCGACTCCCTACTAGATGGACCTCACTGGTCACGACTTCTTACTAGAACTCCAGGAAACTCCATCCTGTAGCAAGTCACTAGTGAGCATCAAATTATTTTTCAAGACAAGTAACAAAGGTTAATAAAGTAGAATTTAATGAATTAATCAAATTTCAGCATAACTCGTCAGCTGAATACTCTACATACACGGATATATATGTATATACTACTGAAATTACATTGGAAGATATAGGACTGATAAGCAAAGAAACTACATTGAATTAGTCATGCAGAAAGACAGGTGCGAATGTTTTCCAGGTCATCTTCCAATAGACAAGGCGGGAGGGGGTATGAGAGATTAAAATTAAGATAAATTGCATTATGCTTCAATTACATCACTTAGATAAACAATTAGTCATTTGAGAATATATCAAGAATTGCAAACAGAGTAATACCAACAGTAATAGTTATAATAATAATAATAATAATGCTGAAGTGAGTTAAGATAATCCTTCTGACAAAAGACAGTTTTAAACGAATCAAGAATGAGAATAATAAGATGTAGAATAAATTGTTGATATTAATAATAACAGTTAATAAGTAAAACGTATTACCATGGTAGATTCAGAGTGACGACATACTCCTTTCGTACACAATAGGGTCTTTTTCGATACGGCAAATTACAAAGATTGAGTAAATCTCCGACAGCTTTTGACAACAATTTTCTACCATATTATCAAATGTCTCCAGCCATTGGTTCTTAGATATCACGACTACACCAGAGATGGCGTATTTTGGCAAATCCCACACCAGCCCTCTGTATCTCTGCTTAGACTTCGTGAAAATGGTCAATGCACTCCACCATCTTACTCAATCCTGTCTTTCACCTAGGAGTGAGTCAGTGCAGTTCAGTTCAGTTCGGTAGCTTCATCATCTTATATTTGACATCAGGAGCGAATCGCATGGCAAACATTCGACGACTGCAACTCGTCAAGGTGTTCAGAACTCTGCATTTTATCGCCACCTTCATCTAGGAGGACTACATCATTCGCATATTCCAAGTGGACAAGACTCCACCGTGACGGTAACGATTCGACCCCTGAGTCGCTGAAGCCAGTTAGGGTTAATTCCATTAGTACATCTGTGATGCAATTGATGAGAAATGGTGATAGCAGACATCCCTGACAGACACCACTAAGTGTCACCAGTTCAGATCAAAATTCTCCGTAAGCCTTCACACGGTTGCATGGCCTCCAATAGATTGCCTTGTTAGGTGAAATATACTTCCTCGACCCTTTCTTCACCGCCAAACATTGCCATAATACCTCTCGGTCAATGGAGTCGAATTCCGCCTTAAGGTCGAGAAATATGGCAATGGTTGGACGCCTGTAAATGTGCCTATATGCTAGAGTCGGTCGAAGTGTAAAGATACGATCAATACACTCTCTCCCTAGTCTAGAACATGTCTATTTTTCTCACCATTATCAAGCTAAGCATGTATTTCAAGGCATATTTCATCAAAACTGACAGAATTCATTTAGAGAATTACTGAAAACCAAGGAGTATTGGATAGCTGTTTAGTCCCAAATTAGGACTCCTCAGCAATCCACACCGACGACCACACTACAGACCGACTCTATAACTTCCAGATTACAAGGTGAACCCACTGACTTATTATCGGATTGGAATTCAATGATTTATGTATTCTAACCTGATTCTCAATGGTTCACTAATCAAACCCAAAGGAAGTTGTAGAGTACTCAAGTGATAACTTGAGTAAGTTGAAAACTTGAAAAGTTAATTGCTTCATTCAAAGAATGATTACTGCTTCGCTGTAAATAACTACGATAAAGCTTAGTAACCAATGTAGTCTTCAATAAAATGAATTTAAGTTAAAAACAGAAACAGCTTTTGTAAATAAATAAATAATTACTATTACCCTCCAATTAGTATTCCTTTCTTCTTACATAGTAGCAACATTTCAATACAGTTCAACTGTGAAACATAAACACATGCAAACAACATATATGTAAAGAGTGTGAGCCACAGTCATACACACTACGCCAAAATGCCACCTATAAACTTATCAGTTTCCCACGCTCTCCATACAATTTTATAGAAAAGTTACTTCCGATGAGCCGTAGTCAAGATTTGACAAAATAGTTCTAAAATATTTGGGCGCCGAGTGAGAAGTAGACATTTGTAGGAAATTATATTTGAATAAGGCATTAAGAAGACAAATTTCGCGAGATGATATCATTTCGTAGTTTCTTTACAACCGCTTTACAACCAACATGGTTAACAATGATAAAATAAAGTTCATGAAAATTACTCAGTTAAATAAAAACAAAACTACATACTAATGACCAATCATATTAAGATAGGTCAAGCAGTTCAGGGTAGGCGAAGTTTGAAGTCTATTGATTTTTGTATACACAGTTTAGGCTGTATGTGATTAATCCAAAGTGCTTCCATCACCTTCAATAACCTTGAATTAGATTTGTGTGAAATAATTGTGAAACAGTCACTAATATTGATTTTGTGACCAGACATTAATAAGTGTTTTGCAATGGATGATGCTGGATTTCTACTAAGATTAATCGCGTTAGGATTTCCGATATGATTTACTAGCCATTTTGGAACATGTTCTTTTCGACGACATTGGAACATTCTGTTAGTTCTACCTATTTGTAAAATCTCATCGAAATTGAAACGATTAATTCCAGTGTTTCGTTCGGCAATCTGGTCCAAACTTCATCAGGGAAATTAATCGAAATTAACATAATATAGGTTTATATATAAAAGGAACATCTCTTGTTTTTAGAAAACTTTGTCCAATCATCAGTCATAAAACAAGTAACAACAAGTATAATAAACAAAATTGTACGAGTTGTGATCAAAATTTGACCTCAGACTTACAAATATTGATCTACCTTTGTTAAACACTTTAAACAGTGTGTATCTGTGTGTGTGTGCGGATAAACAGTTTTAAAACAATGTCTTAACGTCTCCCTAAGTAGATATAGACAGTCGGGAACTCTGACCCCAAGTATTATTAGTTAGTGATACATATCCATTCTTATTTATTAATCAGGATTTTGTATGCGTCATCTAACATCACACCTGCTCAAACTGTTAGTATCTAGAATTTTATGATTAGATGTATTTTCAAAATTATGGTGTTTAGGATTAGAGTTTAGTTGAAGTTCATTTGATTTATTTTGTAATCGAATTAAATTAAGAAACTATGTAATTGGCACAATCATCGTGTTTCCACTCTCCGTTGTCTGCAACAGAATGCGTATCCTAAATTCGTAGTTGTCCAGTCACCTGACAACTTCAGTAGGTCGAATAAAGCAGCTCAATTTTCATAAAGAAGACAAAGTAATGAGTCTGACAGGGTTCTTCAACTAAACTCTAATCCTAAACACCATAATTTTGAAAATACATCTAATCATAAAATTCTAGATACTAACAGTTTGAGCAGGTGTGATGTTAGATGACGCATACAAAATCCTGATTAATAAATAAGAATGGATATGTATCACTAACTAATAATACTTGGTCAAAGTTCCCGACTGTCTATATCTACTTAGGGAGACGTTAAGACATTGTTTTAAAACTGTTTATCCGCACACACACACACACACATACACAGTGTTTAAAGTGTTTACCAGCCTCCAAAGCCTCAGGATGGTCGGGGGTGGGTGCCTTGCGCTGCAGGTTGGCCACCCCTCCATACACCTCTTGAAATGCTCCCATGTGACCGGGCGTCTTACATAGCCTCTCCTGAGGAAGTCCTACTCACTGCCTTCACGTGGCGGAGGTATTTTTCACCGAAGTGAGAGGGCAAAAGCGGATGCCCGGCGCTCTTCACCGGGTTGACTGTCCATTGGATGACAGTCTAGGGAGATAGCTAAACCCTGGTTCCAAACCTCCAACGACTGGCGTATGAAGCTCACCGGCAGACGTATGGACAAAGGGCTTATTGGATGCCCTGGATGTATGGCCCCATTCAAAAAGGCGTATGAACCGGACTCCGGTCACCGGCTGCCAATGGATAGTGGACTCCCTACTCCACCCCTACTGCCTTGTAGGTCACACTTGGTTGTGTAAAGGCTAGAGCTGCACTCTCAAACAAAAGGCCGAGCGATGCTGGGAACATCACTCGTACCTAATTCCCATGAAACTTCATGAACTCTCTACAACATCAACCGAATTCCAGTACTTGTCCAACAACGTCGCCTTCGCTGGTTTGGCCATGTTCTGCGCCGACTAGATGACGATCTGGTCAAATCGGTTCTAAATCCCTCACCATTTCCATCTTGGCGATGTCGCAAAGGTGGACAGCTGAAAACATGGCGTCAGATCACCGCGCCTGGGCAGCGATGTTTCGAGATGTTCATGAAGCCGGCTCATCCTCCCGTAGGAGATAGCCGAAGTGAAGTAAAGTAAAAGTTTAACAAAGGTAGATCAATATTTGTAAGTCTGAGGTCAAATTTTGATCACAACTCGTACAATTTTGTTTATTATACTTGTTGTTACTTGTTTTATGACTGATGATTGGACAAAGTTTTCTAAAAACAAGAGATGTTCCTTTTATATATAAACCTATGTTATGTTAATTTCGATTAATTTCCCTGATGAAGTTTGGACCAGATTGCCGAACGAAACGCTGGAATTAATCATTTCAATTTCGCTGAGATTTTACAAATATAATTGTTTACAAAAGTTACTTCCATTCAAACATTTTAGAAGATGCAATTTCAACGAAATTAAAAGCCTCCACTTTATGCTGATATGACATATCGTCTACAGGCAGTCCTAATCACATTTTGTTATCCATGTGTTAAATTATCAACGATAGAAAAGATCAATGGTAGAAAATTCAGTTCAACTTCGATTGAAGCATTTATATATAGTCTGAGTTAGGTATACCAGGTCCTTTGGACGCATTGTTGACAAAATCCTAGTAGGCATGGCTTTTATCGAATTGCATCATCTTTAGTGGCAGTGTGATATTCTCCGGCTATTCACCAACAAATATATATATATGAAAATGTGTAACAATTCACTGAACGACTCTGAGATGTAGTCACTGAAGTGGCTAACTGTCCTTGATCATAATTGCCCGTGTTTACTTTCTCATGTTACCTCATATAATATGGTGAGAAATAATGACGTTAAGCGTAACGTGTGTTAGGTAAAGGAAAGAAGTCAACTGATGAAATGAGTGAGCAAACTTGAAGTGATTCATCCAGATGAATGACCCCTAGCATCACTAATACACATATCAGAAAAGCATGAGAAAGCGAGAGAGACAGGGAAGGTCAGAAACTGGTTGAACACAACATGTATGTATGCACAACATGTACATAGCTGTAAAATATAAACTCGATAACTTACATAAATAACCAAAGTTGAGAACCGACACGTTTTATATGTGGATCAATAACGTATAAGTAATATTGTCTACATTAAATTAATAATAATAATAATAATAATAAACATTTAAAAATATAAGAATCTTATAAACATAAAACTGTTATGATCAACACAGATAAATAGACTAAAAATCAATGCTTTCGTTTCGGTTGAGCTATGAATCAATTTCTACAGTTGACAAATGATCAATGGATATGTATGTGAAGGATAAACTGCTGCTTTCGGTTACTTCAAAGTGTATTTTTATACATTCACTTGCCGTTGTGGAACTAGTTATATTGGCCGTATAAGGCACACACTTTCAAAACGCATCTACGAACATTATTCGGTATGGTTAGCAAAACGATAATGTAAGACAATTTACTGGCTCCAAGTCTCTAGCACTTATAGCGAGTTCAGGCAGCGTAGCTCCATCACAGTCATCTTCTAAGATTATCTACAAGATGAGACTGAATGGTACAACGGGTGTTAGGTTTCAGCATTTGTGCATGGCTGAGGTGTTGATGACTCACTCGTCAATATAACCTCGAACTCTGTGTATGGAAAATATTTGTCAAGTCTATTACTCTACCATGGTCCTCCCCCCCACCCCGACTGTCCAAACCACTCACTCTTATTGTTAACAAGTCGTGACCAGTAGAGTGCAGCAGGTCGGGTGTGAGGACAAATACTCGCCGAAGACATTGGCTAGAGGTTGCGCTATATCGTGAATTGGCAGAAGTTAGAATTCATGGACTGGCCATTGGATCGAGTCCCAGTGGCTTAATGTTATACGAGCTCACCTTGTAACCAGAAGGTTCTGGGTTCGAACCCCGGTGAGTGCGCACTGCTAAAGAGTCTCAAACTCCCAGGTTTTCCAATGGTTATCTAACCAATGTCAACTTTGTCGTATAAGGTGTCGATGGAAGTCCAGCAGTAGGACACTCGCCAACCATGCATATGGTCAGCGGTTCGATCCCTGGTCGACGAACTCATAAACATCGCTAATTTAGTAGTAAGGCTAGTAAAAAGGAAAGGCTGGGGGCGGGGCTAGCAATCTCATCCTGTAATAATAATGTGCGCAGATATGTGGCTTATTAGCATAAGTACACTTGAGTTTCAATCAGTCAGTCCTGATTTCGAGTCCCGACACACGTAATATTATAGATCAGCTATCTGAACAGTATAACGAGTTTTACAAAATACAATTTAAATGATATAACGTCTAATCAAAACTTCCGAAGACTGAAATGAAACTAGTCAACAGGTATGTTTTGAAGCTCGTTAAGAAAAAACGAAACACTAATAATCAACAGATTAATAACATGAAGCCTATCACAATCGACTAGCCCACTTCAATCCGAATTACATTACTTTATTACACTAATTACCTATCGATCAGATAAAACAGGAGAAAAACACAAATTAGCTATTTTCAGTAAGATTCAATCATGAACCACCATTAGTTCGGAAATCACGGTCCCAGTCCGACACTCTTCAATACTAAGCCTACCCATGACTTCACCGGGGACAAGATCCAAAACCTTTAGCTTAAGAGATGAGCACGTTGCCATTCAACTATCTAACCCGAAAACAATCAAACCCCGACAAATCAACCCAGCTTCAACACACGCACATGTATACAACGAAAAAAAAAACAATGACTTACCTTATAGCTGGTGCTGACATGAATGTAATCAAAAGTAGACGTAACTGTGTCAAGACATGACTAGGCTTAACAATGAATATATGCTTTAAAAAGAATGAATTTAATTCAGTCAATTGCCAGACCAATATTAATTGACTAAGCAGAAAACTACGTAGGATAGACGAATCTGGATGAAGCCAACGTGTATGTGTCCAACTAAAATGCATTTTGGAGAAAATGAGGATTGAAATAATAAAAAAGATGTATATAGTAGTCGGCATGTGGAATAAGTTTTTAAAAAAACACACAACTAATTGCATCATAAGCGATAGGAAAAACAAACAATTAAACAGGAATTAACATTATTTTCAACCGGTGTTTTGATCATTTGACTGACTAGATGTTGCACAGTGATAGTGAAACGTATGCGAAGAGAATAAAATGAAGTACATATGTTTCAAGTTGAACAACCAGCAAAAGTAAACAACAGGGGTAACTTGAACAGCTGTTTCAGCCTAAATCAAGACCATTTAGAAGTATGCATATATGACCCTAACGGTGTTCGAACTCATAAACTCTAGATTACGAGGCGAGCACACTGCCATTCAAAACAATTAGACGCAATTCATTTAGATGTTAGTACAATAGTGCAGCCATATTTCGTATGAAAGCACACATAAAAGTAGAGAAACAAAATACAATGAAACTGAAATAAACGAAAAATAAGAGGGACATTGAATATTGAAAATGAAAGATTATGGAGTATCAACTGATAAGTAGGATTACAAGGAAGAAATACATCTTTCAAGTAAAAATTCTCTACAATAGATTCAATAAATTATTTCTACTGATTCAAAGTTAGTTGTCCACTAGACTGACTGATAGATTTCACTCAGCAGCGACACCAATGATTAGGTGAGTGACATTAGTCACTCCTTCCTCTCATTCCATGATCTCCGAATGGAGATATTGCTTCAAGTTTTGAGCCTTGAGTTTTCAGTGCCGGTGGTGTTGTTTTTACAAGGTGAATTGGCTGACTACCGATTAGGTGAGGTTTAGGCATGTATCTGTCGGGAATCAAAACCGCGACGACATATATGTCTGGGAAGCATTCTAATACTGAACCACTCCCTGGAGGAGGTCAATTTTGGATAATAAAATCGTTAAAATTCATCACTGCAACTTCACATCTTTCAAGATTGTGTCTACGCCTTGTTGACGAGTGCGATAAGTACACAACCAAGATCCATATTCTGCTGTCAATTACGTCCAACCACCTGATATATACTGAATGCGAAATGTGTAACACATATATTGCAGACTGATATTCCAACAGTTTTACATTGAATGACAGAGAAACAGCCCATTGACTAGAACACTCGGTTTACTGCTGATGGCTGGTCCCAGTTACGGGTCCCATATCACTCACTTCAATCTAAAACAGCGACTGAGTAGTATCACTAACCCTCAAAGCCTCCTAGTACATAAAAATTCTCTACTACATAACTCAGTCCAAACATAAAAATAAAGTGCAGCTTGCAGTCTTAACTACTATCTCACCTTTTAAAAACTTTTCTACTTAGTTTGCATATTTTACTAAGCAACCAGTAAATAATTGAAGTGCTTGTATTCTTTTTTAAAAAAAGGTACATCTCCATCGAAAGTCTATTTAGCCATTCGTCTAACTTTTTATTCAGTATTTATATACCACTAAAGGAACTGTGAAAAAATAGTACAGAGAAAAGAGTGTTGTTTCAATAGTGAAATAATAGTTTGTAATTTTGTTGAGACATTCGTTTTCATATCACTTTCATTGATCAGCTGTTTCACTGGACAGCAGTGCGCCAATATAAGATAAGCACTCTTATGAGATAGTCTATGATCTCAGTCATGTTAGCTGGATGGAGGCAATTTTCAGGAAATCTCAGACCTAGGTTTTGGTGCTTGTTGACACTCACCAGTCAGCAAAGTGTATGTGCAATCTTGAAGGAGGAATTCATGTCTCCCTTGAGATTTGAAGTCAGTACTTCAGTGAGAGATGTTACCAATGATATATTCAGGAGTTCAAGAATGATATTCTGTAGGAATGTAGTGCATACTTTTATTGGAAATGACGTACTCACTAATGTCGTGCATGCAACATCAATTCAGAGTTCACCACAATGGCTGCAGAACTTAGTCTGTATCATTCGAAAAACTATACACAGAACATTAATTACTACCTAATGTCAGATCAAAAACTTCTAGTATAGTGTAAATTACACAGTGAAACGTAAAGTTTTAGCAGTTTTTTTGAAGAAACCGAATTTGTTTTAAAGTCAAACAAACTTAAGCAAAGAATATTCTTTCGATAAAGTGCTTCATCCACACAGAAAGAGCGATCTGCACTGATGAATACCGTTATGAAGAACACAATACTGTTAAACAGTTACTACGTGAAAATGGTTATCCCAAAGAAATTCATCAACAAGAAAATGAATCTCGAATCAAGGAAAGCCAAAGTATCAACGCCTTCTTATTACAACTTCACTCCCTCAGTGACAACACCATTGAAATCGTAACACAACGTCTAATGAATGAGACAAAACGAAGAGCAGTCAGTGACGCTGAAGCATGCTGTCTCTTCTAAACCATTCCAATTTTGTATTCAAGAGTTAAACAGAAACTACTTAAATAAAGTATAATTATATTTCAATGGTTTACACACAATGATCAGTTTTGTTATTGGTAATATTTCGAGTAAAATTACTACTGCCCATATTCACACCACTGTTGGATTTGTTTTGTTCACACATTTATGATTTGTACTCATACATATCGTTCATTTTTTGTTCACTCATTTTTGTGAATTCAGATTTATATTCCAGGTTGCATGGGACAAAACCACAATATCTATTGGAACAATGTTTGTAATCTAAAAACTAATATGAACAAATGGAAAGACAGATTTATAACAGAATCGATATTCAATAAGGTCACACCGGATACATGTAACAAGGTTGACTCAGTACAACTTTCAACAATCTGGAATATAATTCTGAATACACAAAAAAGGATGAACAAAAAATGAACGATATGTATGAGTACAAATCATAAATGTGTGAACAAAACAAATCCAACAGTGGTGTGAATATGGGCAGTCATTTCGCTCGAAATATAATCATTAACAAAACTGATCATAGTGTGTAAACCATTGAAATATATATATATATATATATATATATATATATATATATATATATATTGATTTACAGCTTGATTCCACGCTGTATTTTTGGTACAAGTATGGAATTTTCAGCATGGATATCGGTAGCCCAAATTTTGCAGACCGGCCATAGATATCGGGTGTGCGTCGGCAGGGGATCGAACCTCGGACCATGTGCACGGTAGGCGAGAGTCCTAACTACTGTACCACCGACGCACAATGCTCAAACTTTTTACTGACATTAAAAAACTAGTTTTACCTCCTCTTTATGAATCTATCAATTTTTTGGCTCCCAGGTGGAGCCAGTAAGTAAGATAGGGCGTACAATCAGACATGTTTGTTATCACATTTACGAACACCATACTGTGTGGTTAAGTAAGCAGCAAATAAAGTCCATTCATAGTTTTACACTACCTCATCTCGTGGATACACAACACAAAATTGATACAAACTTTTAATATATATATATATATATATATATATATATATATATATATATATATAAGTGTATTTGGACCAACGTCAACAACCTAGAAGACCTGGATTTCGCGGATGATTTATGTTTGATGTCACACAAAATCGAAGACCTACAAGCGAAAACCGACAAACTGGTCGAAGAAGCAGCCGGTGAAGACAGGACTCCAATTGAACATAGACAAGACGGAGGTTATTAAAAAATAACCAGCCAACAACAACATCCAGCGCCAATCACCATCAACGGGAGGAATTTGAAAGAGGTAACTTACTTCACTTATCTAGGGAGCATTGTCTCAACTACAGGCAGTTGGAACGGACAAGGATGTCAATTCGAGCGAGAGTCGGGAAGGCGAGAAACACATTCATCAACCTGAAACAAATATGATCTGGAAATCTTCGTCACTCAGCCAGCATCAACAACAAAATTCGGTTGGATTTTCAATACAAATGTCAAGTCAGTCAGTTTTTCTATACGGATCAGAAACTTGGCGCTTGGCGGGTCACAAACAATATTTCCAACAGCCTGTTGCAGACCTTTATCAACAACTGTCTCCGCTCTATACTGAAGATCAGATGGCCGGGCCGGAAAGAATCACCAACAAGAAACTATGGAAACATACAAAACAAGAAACAATCGCCCCAAAAATATGCAGGAGAAAGTGGAGATCGATCGGACACTCGCTGAGGATGCCGCTGGGTGACATCGCACGTCAGGCTATTGTTCGAGTGGAACCCGAAAGGGAAGCGAAGAGTGGGACGTCCAAGGGTGACATGGAAGAGATCGTGTGAAGAGGAGTTGAAACAGACAAGACCGATGCAGCTCAAAGAAGAAGAGAGGTGGTGGTGTTGCCACTTTTATTAATTCTCAGTGGTCTACTGCCAACAACGTCTGCTTCAAATTCTCAAATGACAATATTGACTGTATAACTGTAAAATGTCGACCTAAACACTTACCTAAGTATAGCTTCATTTTTGTCACAAATATCTATATCACACCTTGTTGCAGTCCCTCAGAACTATCTATCTTCGCTGATGAATTCACTATTTTTGCTGCTGCTTCGTTTGGTAACTCCTTATCTATAGTGACTGGCGACTTCAACTCCAGCGACTGCAGTTTTATTACATTGCTGGGCCATGAAAATGTTGTTAATTTCCCAACTCGACAAAATACTTCACTTGATTTAGTATTTATAAATGATTCTGGAATATACGAAGCTCGTAAAAGAGCCCCACTCTTCAATTCTGATCATTGTATTGTACGAGTCTTACCCAAAATTTACGGAAAGTTACACAGTAAAGCCCTCTCAAACTTGTCTAAGAAAGTTGTTCACAGATGCTACTCAAATGAGAACGTACATCATCTTAGAAACATGCTCAGTGACACAAGATGGGATTTGTTTAATGATGATTCACTTGATGACAATATCTCTAATATTACATCCTATCTGAAATTCTGTTTTGAAATCTGTTGTCCAAAAGAAACACTATTCGTCAAATTTGACCGTTTCTCCTCGCCTCAACTTAAAAAGCTTCG